GGAAAGAGATGCTATCAAATTGGATTTCATACAGCAACTCTTCTAAAGAATGCATTTCAGACCCATGCTTATCAGCAATTGATGCCAAATAGTCATAATGCAGTGGTATAGACAGGAAGGTGCCTGCAACAGGTACTCTTTTTCCTCCTCTCTAATAGGTTAAATTGAAAGGACAGTTTACAGTCTGTCATTGTAACCACATCTGGAAAACAAGCCACGTGGAAGATGTTGCACTTCCAGGCATTCAGACTGCAGCCTGGTTCTATTACAAGAAGATCCTGAGCTGTTGCAAAGCATCAGGAGCAATATTCACTCAGGATTGGCTGTGCACTACTTCAGTGGAATTTTCTAAGAACATTCCAATTTAATCACAGTTAAAGTTATTTACAGGATGTTTATGGACTCTGGTAGGCAGGAAGCCAGACTGGATGATCACAGCAGCTGCATAATAGTAAAAAAGTTCAAAACAAGCTAGAAGCCAGAAATTGTTCATTTGTTGTACAGACAATAGATAATTTCTTTTCCAACTGCAGAGAACTTACCAGAGGTAAAAAAAAAAAAACAAGTGATACTAGTTACAGGAAATAAAGTATCTTCAATTTTGCAGCAGCACTGCAACCATATGACTTGATGACAGCACATCCCTCTGGCAGACTAGTAGTGCCTTGCAGCTGTCTACTAAAGCCTGCTATAAGCTGCTCTGAAAGCATACTTCCATGGCTTTACCAAAGTTTTAGTTGTTGTAAGGGGAACATCCTGCACAGAGGTACTTCCACCTACTGAAAATTCCTGGGAGCTATTTAATCACCATCTTCAGATTCTTTTGAAGTCTATGTTGACAAGTGAGTGTGCACCAGTGGGCATTTAATCCACTCTTTTTTCCTAAGAGAGAATTGCAACCAATTTACCTGCATGCTGCTATTTAGAATGCTGCTGCATGTATCTATCTCCACTCTCTTCCCAATGACTTATGAACATCTATGCATTATTACCCTAGGCTGTATGGATACACATACATGAGGGGCAATACTAGAGATAACAGTTCTAGCACCTCACAGACCTGAAAATACCAAGGCCATCTCTTAAAGGCAAGAGACACAAGACAAGCTACCACAACATGCTTCAGGAAAAGAAAACGAGCATGAGACAGAGACATAGCCAAACTCCTTAGAGCCCATTTATGCAAGTTTCTCAAAGGACCAGCAGATTCCCTTCCTGTGTGCCAGTTTCCTCAGCAGCATCACTACCAGCTTTCTTTTGGAACTACAGCAGAAGCCTTTGATTATCCCAGATCATTTTGAATCTCCTTCAGCAATTCCACAGCGTGCTTAGGGCAATCCTGCAGATACATCTTTCCTAGTCAGCAGTGAGATTATCCACGCCACTGGACTGAACACTGTAAATGGAAAATACCTTAGTTGACATTTTGCCTTTCTATCACAATATGCTGTCCCATGACTTGAGCTTTTATTGTGCAGCTCATGCATTCTGGTATAGTTAGCCCTTGATTAAAAGATTCAAAGGGGCTGGGTGACAAAAACAACGTGTTATTGCCATGTTTCAAAGGGAAAACGTGGCAACAGATAACAAACAAGTAGTAAAACTCAGAACATTTCGCCAGTAATTGCTTCTCTGGTTTTCTATCTACTATCCAACTACTATAATTCCAAGCTTTCCCACATTGAACTGCAAATGATTCAATAGCAAACAATGAAAAACAAAGACAGCACAACAGATCTATTCTACGACATGAACTTTTTCCACTTAATGCTGCACAGAGAGTTCAAAGAACCTTCTATCATGAAAAGAGGAACAGAGAGCCAACAATACAATCTATGCCATGGGAATAATTCACATAAGCTGTAGTTATGTAGACTAAGACACTCCTTGACCAGACACCGATGCAAGAAGCTATGCCAGAATGTTACAAAGTCCAGAACAGTTTGGAAAGCATGAAAGGTTAGAGTTGCTTTTCAGCTTAAATGAGCAAGGCCCAACCAGAGTAAGGCCCAGCTCCATACTTTTTAAGTGACAAAGGACAAGGTCAGGTGTGTGCCTGGTACAAAACACTACTGATGAAATTTACAGATGATAACCCATAGGATTAGGTGATTAAAATTTGTCTTAGGGCAACTGTTCTGTCTCTAAATTAAGCAGGAGTTCTCTGATAGTATTTTCAGCATAGTGAGTGCAGATTACAGTCCAGCAGAGGATTTTCTTTTCCTGTGCCCCAGATTCCAGTCTGGCATAAGTATTACAATATGTGCTTGTGTCAGACTCAAGAGCTCAGCAAGGACAGCCTCCTCCCTTTTCCCCCAGACGTAAAGACAGTCCAAGTTACAGAGCAAAGTGATTCCAGCCAGCCAGCCTGTTTATCTGTATCCCAATATCAGAAGTCAAGCTGTGTTCACCTGAAGGAACATTAATGGCAAGCTGAAACATATACCTGCAAAACTGCTGGTGATGTCCTATCTTCAAATAATTGATATTGACAGCAGCTTCTTGTGTTCTCATCTGCTACACAAAAATTCCTTGAAGAGGGACCTCTTTCCCAGATAAAGCAGTTCAAGGTTCTTCACTACTATGGAAATGCATCTGTTCTCTTGGATGCATTTTAACACAAAAAAATACTTCCTAAACTACTATCACTTTAAACAGTGAGAGGGCAGCTGAAAAATAAAGTTTCAGTGCGACCACTGACTTTACAGGTCCTAGCACTGTTTTACTCCAGCTCTTAATCTTTGCTGTGGGCTAGTCTCTCCCTCCTAGGGTGCTGCAGCATCACACTGGGGTAGCTATTGCAGCAATGTCCTGAGAAAGTCTGGTTGAAAATGCCAACAAGGTGGAGTTGAACCGCATGTTCTGAAGCTGAGAAAACAAAAACATTGCATTGGAGGAGCTACAAAATTATATTTGTCCTTCCAAGTTTCTTTGATCAGAAACCCAGAGATCTGTCAAGTCAAACAGAAAAACAAATGCTGTGAACAGTTGTAGCAGGAAGAACTCCGTTAGCAGGAATGCAAGGCTCCGGATATCTAATTCTTTGATCATTCCACTTTACCTTTTAGGAGATGAAAGGAATTTTGTCCTAGTGTACTTGTTACAGTAAAAATAAATCGCTGGTTTACCCCCTACAATCCCTACATCAACTTATAACATAACGAAGACTCCGCTGTAGTCCAGAAGACTGGCTCCAGAAGGCTCTCCCTCTATCTCAGCCTTGTTTGTTATATGAGGCCTCAAAGAAACAACTGAAGAAAAAAAATCAGTATAACTGACAAGGTTTTCCACCACTCATTCTCTTTCTAATCCCTGTGGTCTGAGGAGAAAGCTTAGCTGTGTTCAAAGTTAGGCATCACCATCCCTTCCCTCAGGTGCTTGTTTCTCCTCTATTCCCACTCACCAAGCATCCAAGCTCTGTCAGAGAAGAGCTGCACTGTGTCCCAGAATGACTCTTTCCAAATTCCTTCCCCCTAAGTCATCCAGCAAAACACAGAGCGTGTCTGTTACAATGTCCCTCCAGTCAGAGGGCTGCTACTCTTCCTTCTGCTGTGGAGCGGTCTGTCCAAGAGTCTTCTCGAGTAAAATTCCTACTCAGAGGATGGAAAATTTCAGGCATGTATTTTCATGAAGTTTGAGTGAAATAAAAATAGAGGAAATGAACAGAGCCTGATGTACTATTTCTGAATCCCTCATCCCCAGTGTAACTTCTTGCTAGAACACTCAGTGTAAAGATTTTATTTTCAAGTCAACATTGCCCCCAAACAGTTTTCTGTCACAGCTCAGACCAACCTGAGAACATCAGCTATTCTGCTTTTCTTAGATACCTCTAGGCTTTTGCTTATTGCATTATAGATAAACAGAACTACTTTCAGAGCTGTTTTTTTTTTGTATTTGCCTTTAAGCCCAGAGTTCAGTGATTATAATCAACTTATTTTAAGAGAATCAGCACTAGAGGAGAATATTGCTTAGTCAGTCACCAATTCTCCCCTCCCTCCCTGTTGTGCTGTAAGGCAACTCAGCCTTATCTCTTGAGCCTGATGTAAATTATTCTGACAAAAAATACATTGCATAGCCTGGTTTCTGGAATAATGGAAAGATTTGAAAGCAGCATTGTGATAAAGTGTATTTTTCCCTTTCGGTATAATAGTTTGTATTACTCAGAAAGACTGAAATTTTAGATTAACATGAAACCTTAGTACCTTTTTATCAGTACCAAAAAATAAATCGCCTACTTAGGAAGTATGAGAACAATCACATCCGCTGTGCTTCCCTTAACGTTTCATTACTGTAACTCTTGAACTAATTGAGATCCCAATTCAAACAATAGCTTTAAGCAGCCTCAGAAGGCTGCAACTTTAACATATAGCTTTCACAATACATGCCAATGGATAACTAGAACTAAATAGTTCATCTATCAATATGTGGGTATAAGCTTGCTTTCCTGTCCTCCCAAAACAGAGTAGTAGCTTCTGATCTGTTAATGATGCAAGAGTTTCTTGGAAATATACTGCATTATTCCTATGCTCATACAAGCAGCAATTGTAAATCTTTCCTGCATCATATGTTCTAGGTCAGTAGCACATGTTTTATAGTATTTACTTAAACCCATAGAATTCTGTTGGGCTTGATGTTGTTAAAGGAGTGAGTTTTCTACTAGCCACAATATACTACCACATCAGTGAAACAAAGATCGATTTCAGCATTAGTATCTTAACTATCAGACATATCAAAACAGCTGTATTTGTAAGTAGGCTATTCAGTGGCCAAGGTTACATTACAGTACAGTTCCATGGCCACAGGTTTATAACACATCCCACATACGCAGTAGCATAGGACAGTAGATAACCTCTTATCTATGATCTGCTAACACCAGTTGCTTTGATTTCTTGGTAGCTTTCCTTGTGTTTATGTAATCTCCAAAGACAGCTAACATAATACAGCTACTTTAGCATCACTACCATTATAGCATTGCTGAAATAATGATCTTATTACACACAGTAATGAAACTATATTTTATTATAAGCAAAAACAGCTTTTATATCACCAAGAAAACAGGACCTTTACACTTTCGAAAAGAGCTACTCACGTAGCAACTGCTATACTTAGAAATCAATTGGTACTTCCAATTAGAAAGAAGCACAGAGCGTAACAAAACACCAAAACCCAGATCATTAGAAAGTATGTGACCTCAACTTAATTAAGCAAAGCCACTCATATTCTGGTCCTTCCTGACAATAGTCACTGCTCCAGTTCACAGTACTCCAAAATAAAAGTGACTGGTAGTTCAAACTTTCTCAGTGTTTTCTGCATACCAATTCCACCAAAGACCGCTCTACTACAGTCCATACAGTATGCTCCTCAGAAACACTCTAGCATTTCCTTCTTCCAAAAGAAACAAACAACAAAAAACAGTCATTGGTTAGATACACTGTGTCTTTGTGGGGGGGTGGAAAAAAAAGAGCAGGGAGGCTGATGCAGTGATAACACTATATAGACAACTCATAGGCAACAGCAGAAGCATATCTGAGAAGTCTGGAGAAGAGCAAGATACCATCTTCAGTACTCTGCATTGAAAGGGTACTCCTTATGATTTTGGGACCTAAAAGAAACCAAAGAGGAAAGATTAGTCTAGTGGCTGAAAGTTCCAGCTGTAGCCACTGCAAAGAACCATCAGAGGAGCAGATGAACTGTATTAAAGCAGAGACAATTTGTTGCAGACTTCTGTTTTCTCACAGTGATGGGTTGCATTTGTAAACAGAATGGCTCTGAGCACATCAGGCTGCATTTAATATTCCAACATACTGTGGGATCTAAGCACTCTGTATGTAAGTTAACTGTTTACTGCCTGGAAGACCTCTCTGCAACATGACAGTTATTTAATATCTGGCACATCACAGTTTGGTTCATAGTGTGAAAGTAACATTTGACTGAAAAAATTGTTTTGAGGATGAACTCTCTGAAATTGAGCTTGAATATCCTGAGTTTTAGCAAGGTTTAGAACATGGAATTAAAAAATCACACAATCACACAGAAACATCAAGGTTGGAAGAGACCTACCATCCACCTATCACCAATAGTTCTCACTAAACCATGTCCCTCAACACAACATCCAAACATTCCTTGAACACCTCTAGGGTCAGTGACTCCACCACCTCCCTGGGCAGCCCATTCCACTGCCTGACCACTCTTTTAGAGAAGTAGTATTTCCTAACATCCAGCCTAAATTGCCCCTGGTGCAGCTTGAAGCCATTCTCTCTAGTCCTACCACTATTTACATAAGAGAAGAGGCTGACCCCCAGCTCACTACAGCCTCCCTTCAGGTAGTTATAGAGAGCAATAAGGTCTCCCCTGAGCCTCCTCTTCTCCAGACAGAACAATCCCAGCTCCTTCAGCCACTCCTCATGAGGCCTGTGCTCCAGACCCCTCACCAGCTTTGTCGCCCTTCTTTGAACCCACTCCAGGGCCTCAATGTCTTTCTTGCAGTGAGGGACCCAAAACTGGACACAGTACTCAAGGTGCGGCCTCACCAGAGCTGAGTACAGGGGGACAATCACTTCCCTGCTCCTGCTGACAGTGCTGTTTCTGATACAAGCCAGGATGCCATTGGCCTTCTTGGCCACCTGAGCACACTGCTGGCTCATGTCCAGCCAAGCAGGAATCAACACCCCCAGGTCCATTTCCTCTACACAGTCTTCCAGCCACTCTGCCCCAAGCCTGTAGCGTTGCCTGCAGTTGTGTGGCCAAAGTGCAGGACCCAGCATTTGGTTGTGTTGAAACTCATCCCATTGGCTTCAACCCAGCTATCCAGTCTGTCCAGACTGCTCTGTAGGGCCTTGCTACTCCCAGGCGGATCAACACTTCCAGCCAACTTGGTATCATCCACAAACTTACTGAGGGTGCACTCAATGCTCTCATCCAGGTCATCAATAAAGATACTGCAGAGGACAGACCCCAGCACCAACCCGTGGGAACACCACTCGTGATAGGTCACCAGCTGGATTTAGCTCCATTTACTACCACTCTCTGGGCCCAGCCCTCCAGCCAGTTCCTTATCCAGTCAAGAGCGTACCTGTCCAAGCCACAGGCTGCCAGCTTCTGCAGGAGAATACTGTGGGAGACAGTGTCAAAGGCTTTGCTGAAGTCTAGAAAGACTACATCAACAGCCTTTCCCTCATCCACCGGACAGATCACTAGATCATAGAAGATCAGATTGGTCATGCAGGACCTGCCCTTTGTGAACCCATGCTGGCTAGGCTTGATCCCCCAGTTGTACTGCACATGCCATGTGATCTCCCTAAAGACATTCTGCTCCATAACCTTTCCTGGCACCAAAGTTAGGCTAACAGTCCTGTAAATAACATTAAATAACATGATGAGAGAGTAATAGCATGAAAATGCTGGCACTTACATGCTCATTGCACAAGCTCTCCAGTTTCTGTTAAAGCTGAGAATAGTTGCCATCTCTTCTTTAGTCAGTTCAAAGTCAAACACCTAACACAAAAAACAGGTGGAAATCACCTCTTTGTACAAATCAGAGATTGCAGGCAAGATGCGCAAAATTAAAAAACAAGTCCAAATTGGAGGTAAGCTGGTTAGAAGTAATGCCTGCTTTCTTCATGAAGGGAAGAAAAGGAAATCCAGAGATGACTTTTTTTCAAGACTTCAGTGGTAGAGGGAATAAAAAAAAGCCAGAAGGTGAGGCTGACATACCGAAGTTCCAAGAACTTTGGTGAGAACTTCAGCATTACAAAATGCCTCCATTCTCTTTTTGTCAAAGATGCATCTTCTGGTCCCATTCCAAAGAACAACTCCAAGGCTTCCATATTCCACTTATTCCAGCTAAGTGTACTGCTGAATTCTAATGGCCACTTTCAGTCAAGTATCACTTAAAGCAACACTATTTATGAACACAAGGGCTTAAGGGTTTGCTCTACATTAGTCTTTTGGGGTGTGCTCCTACACTTCAGTGCCTGGAAAACTCCCAGCACCAATTCATCTGCAATCTGCAAAAGAGGAGACACCACATAAGGTGGTGATTTTCAGCAGATATCTTCCCAACAGAGCGTTCATCTCTTCTCCAACTGCAGCTCTCAGTAGAGGTAGACAGAAAAAAGCCCTGTGCTCTTTTCTGAGGAGGACTCTGGGAAGGCTGAGAAAGGATCCCTGCTTATTCTGCAGGGAGAAGTGATGCCAGATCACTTGTAATCACCCACCTTGAAGTTCTCCACAATGCGCTGTGGTGTGACAGACTTGGGGATCACAATCACATTTCTCTGGATGTGGAACCGAATAAGAACCTGCAGGAGCATATCACTGAGTCAGAACTGCTCTTATTCTGTAAAATGCAAAACCTATTCCAATAGCCATTTGCTGTTAATAGTACAATGAGCTGGACTAACCAATCACAGCAGAGTTACATTTCACATCACATCTGTACTCCAAGCAGAACTTCCTCAAGTATAGAGAGTGGAGTTTTCCTCCTTCTCCATACAGTCTGTGGTACCCAGACAGCTTCTGGCTTTTAGCAGTCTACACAAGTGTTTGTTTCTCTGCAAGAACTTGAGATGGGTAGACTGAAAAATCTGAAGGTGAGTCAAGAAAGCTTTTCTTATTGAGAGTTTATTGAACCTTTTTGAGAATACATTGCAGACTATGCAATAAACAAGCTGCACTGCTACTTTGTGATTCTAGCAGCTTAAAGGGAGTTGAAAAGAAACAGGCTGTCCTTTACACCTTCTGTGTCATCAGTTGTTCTAAATAACAGCAACACAAGCTGTGTTACAGGAAGCAGTACCCACCATCCAGCACCCACCTACCTGTGCTGCTGTTTTGTTGTGCTTGGCTGCAATCTCTTTAATCTTAGGGTCATCCAGAAGAGAAGGATCCTCTGGCTTAGCCCTACACAAAGAACAGAAGATCAGTAGCAAGAAACCTCCATAGGAAGAGCCATCAGTAACCAACAAATACCTGTATCATAATGAATGATCAATGGAACAACTTGTAATCTCAATGCTGTTAGCATAACCCATCCAACTCCCTTGCAAACTGGTCTTACCATGGCCTGTCAGGAGAGCCAAGGGGACTATATGCTGTCACAGAGATCCCTTTGGATTGACAGTAGTTGATCAGCTTCTCCTGGGTCAGGTATGGATGGCATTCAACCTGGAAACACAGAAGTGCAGAGGATGATAGCAGCCGAACTACTTTTCACATTCCATTTCTTGATTTTTAATCCAAAGGAAGTTTTTTTTTGTCCTAATTTATAGCCTATGTGATATTATGCAGCATTTGTTTTCTCTATGCCCCCACACCCTTTCTGCTCTTTGTAGCAGGTCTTCTCACAAGTGCTGGGATCCAAGGACAGCAACACTTACAACTTCCCTGATCTATACTATCCCTAATGTACAGGACCATATTTATAACTGCTTAAGTAGAACAGTCCAATGAGATGTACATACAAACAACTGTAAAGCCACAAGAATAGGAAAGTTATAGCATATAACTGTACTATATATAGTACAAAGTACTATAACTGTACTATTATATAGTACAAAGTTCTCCCTACTTATGTCGTAAAGTCATTATGCTGTAAAATGATTATGCTTTTACACCTACTACACTAGCCTCAATACTGGTATTGTTTCATTCCTTTTTTATCAGCTTCATGTCAATACACATGCCAAATACTTCCAGCCTGCAAATATTAAGAGTGGCTATTAATTGCTACAGATCCTAGAACTTCAAATTATTTTCCCTTATAGAATTACTATAAATGCATGTGTGCTTACTATTAGTTTCCAGAAGGCTATCAATATAACACAGAGTCCTTAACAGCAAATCTGTATTCCAGCAGGTTAATGCATCAATATGCAGCACAGAACAGCCATTATGCAAGTTGTCTGGAGGCAGTGAACAAACGTGAAGTTTTGATACTTTTCATAGACGGATTTATGGGACGACCACATACCAGACAGCACTATTCTTCTAGCAGGCTAAAGAGAACCTTCTGGCTACACTGTCATTCAAGCCTTCAAGGTAGCCGCTGCTTTGCTTTGCAAAGAAGTCCCTGGAAACTTGTGCTGCTGGCAGGCAGAGCAACAGCGCAAGTCATGGGATCAGATTGCAGCCTCGAGTGCTTTATTTACAGTTCTGGCTGCCTGCTGACATAAGAAGCCTTCTCTTCTGAAGCATGTTGGAATATTAAATGCAAGAGGATGTTAACTCAGTTCCCAGGGTAGATTATGCATATTAATGTTGCTTCAGCAGCTTCTCAGAGTAACAGCAATTAGACAAATTTAGAATGATTTCCACTATACAACAGAAAGAATTCAGAGCATGTGAATGAGGCAAAGTCATTCCTACATGCCCACTAGAACTCTAGGTGCAAGACTCCCGAGCTGCATTACATATGTTACATCTAGACCATGGTGAAAAGCCTCTGGTATACATTTAAAATATTTAAGGTACTGCAACCCGTACTGTGACAATGATAAATTACCAATGAGTCAGTTTTCCTTTGGGAATTAACTATTAGTATTATAACTACCTTGCCAAGTTAATATCTCACCATGAATGAAACCAATATGCATACTAATCACATTCATAATTAAGATATACACTGAATTACTGGACTATACATGAATGTTGATATAGAGAAATGTTTCCAAGAAGCACTATAATCTTACATTAAGCCAACTGGAGAAAGTTAATAACAGACACTCCTAAGCTTGCAAGCATTTCTGAAGAAGGTCTCTGTCCTTCAAAACTTAGCACAAGACCTATTGCTCTGAGTTTAACTTGATTATGGTAATCAGAAAGCTTAAGTAAACTTGTAGTGTGTCATAAGGTCAGCATCCTCAATAGAAATAGAGGGGTAATCATTAACTACAGTGAAAGCTTTCTTGGCAGTGAGATGTGGTAGGTGTTGAAGGATACAATAAGACTAAGTATTCTAAAAGTGAAGTGGGATCAATTATGAAAATACTCTGTGCAGAATCAGAGATTCCACACTTGTCAAAGGGTTTGACATCAACAGAATTCCAGGGAATGCTCCTGTTAAGTTTCCAAAAAAAGGTGCTGAAGTCCTTTTTAAGTACATATGCTCAAGCTACCACAGTAAATAACAAGTTCCTGTAATCCAGTTTCAAGAACAGATTGCAGTCCCGCAATTTATGACAGGTCTAGATAGATTTCACAGGGATCTGGAACCTGTCTTCAACAACTTGTGAAAGGCAGTAATATGGTCAGTTCTTAGGTGATTCCAACTGAGGGGGAAATAGAGGAGCAGACAAAATACTCAAGGCTTGGTTGTCACTTCAGAAGGACCTACTCATACAACAGGAAAAAGGTTAACAAACCTCACAAAACTCAAGATGCAAAGCACTGCACCCTGGAAGGAATAGTTCCAAGCAGTGACACAGGCTGGAGCCTGGATGCATAGAGAACAATTCTGCTAGAAAGCAGCTGGGAGCCACAGTAGGCTGAACTGAACATTAGCCAGTAGTGATCTGTCAGCAGAAACACAAACAGCAAGTCACAGGAAATAATCATCTCCCTCTACTCAAGGGGTAATCAGACCACCTTTAAAATATAGCATCCAGTTTCCCCCTCCCCAGTTCTTTAAGTAGAAGACTGACAGACTGGCATTTCAGCAGAGGGACACCAGGAAGCCAAGGAATGAAGCAGTACTATACCAGGGTAGGCTGAGGCATTAGGCTTGTTCAGCCTGAGGAAGGGAAGGCCCCAGGGCTCCTAGCAATAGCTTTCCAACAAAGAAGGTCATCAAAAGCAAAGCCAAGCTCTTCAGTAGCACATGGTGGAAGGACAACAGACAGCAGGCATAAACTGAAACAAGACAGGTTGGAACAGGAAATGCTAGAAAGGGCAGTAAGGCAGCAGAACACACTGCACAGAGACTGTTCATGAACAGTCTATAGAGCATACTTCCATTCAGTTCCTTCAGTTTTAAGTCATCAACTACAGGAACTGCCTTCTCTATAGAGGAGCTAGAGAAAAAAAAACAAACTATCTTGTTCTCTACTGACTTCTTGTACACACACAGAGTTTCGCTCTGAACTGAAAGGCAGTTTTAAGGTTCATCTGACTTTCCTCTCTGCTCCAGAACAAAGATATGCTGGAGAGGCCCCTTGCCAGATTTCCAATTAGTAGTGCAAAAACTTTAGCCTTATCCTACAAGACAGTCCTAGCAATCATTGAAGCACAGGAGGGGAGAGGGGGGAAGAAACCCCAAACAAATCCAATTAAACCTGGAACATTTACCTGGGGGTCACTTATCTTACCTGGTTGTTTGCAGGCTTGTATTTCAGTCCTGGCTTGTTCAAGATTCTTTCTATCTGCTCATGGTTGAAGTTGGAAATTCCAACAGCTTTTGCCAGACCAGCATCCACCAGTTCTTCCATGGCCTAATGGCAAGAAGAGCCAAGTCAGCATTCAGTATAAGTCAGCATAACAGGGTCTGAAGACATTCTTCCTGACTTAGCTTAATTCCTTCATGAGAAGCACAAAGCATTTAGGTTTGCGGAGCTCATGTCTGAGGGAGAAACAAAGCACTGGTATATTTATACCACACCTCCCATCTCACCAAAACCCAAAGAAGCATTCTTTAAGACTGCATACGCTCATACTAAGTTGAAGTGAAAAGCAGCACTTAACAATGCACCACGGTACCAGTGAGCCCCTCTAAATAGCTCTGCAAACATGAAACAGTTTGGAGTTTGAAGTTAATGATGACATGGAGGAGACTGCTGAGGATGGAAGGCATAACTGTCACTGTGACTAAACTTACCTCCCATGTTTGTAGAAGATCTGTGTTGCCAGGTATCGACATGCCTTTGTCATCTGCAGGAAACAGGTCCTCTCCTGCCTGAGAGAGAGAAAAATAATGGAAACATTCCCTGTTAGGAATATTAACAGCAGCTGAAGATCATATCACAAACTGAATACTACTTAACTACTGGCTTATTAGATAATAAGCAAATCAGTTTACATTCTTCAGTATTATTTTGTTTTCATGTGGGTTTGTGGCATTTTTGCCAAAAGCCATCCAACGAAGGGCTGGTCCTCCTCTGCACAGCAATATTCTGTGGCTCACCCAAATACATATTAAAAAAAACCAATGCTTCACTCACAGAATCAATGTTTTCAAGTTTACTTCCTGTATTACAGAAGTGCACAGTTTTGTAGTGCAAGCATAATGGAGTGTTTTATTGAACTATTTAATGAGGATCTACCCAGGATCTGGGTCTTTCATAGTCATTCCATAAGGACCCAATATGCTGACAGGTCTTTCACAAGGAGGCTTGTTAATTAAATTGCTGGAATGTTAAAACTTCCTGTGCACCAGTTTGGACAAGATGCTTAAGTATGAGCTTGGTTCAGAACCAGGTGTTTTCTGTTGAATACCACAACACATTTACACTTTGATAGTAGTGCCCAATAAAAGTAATTTCAAAGATATAAATTGCTTTTTGAAGCATGTATCTCAGAAGCAACAGTTAAGATGAAGATTTTTATTATGCATAACAGATTAAGCTTAAAAGTTTTCAGACAGAGACATCAATTGCTTTCTATGTAGTCAGTAATAGTTGGGAATTAAAAAGCTTCACTTTTTAAAATACAAGCTCCGTAAAACACTAAGGCTCCTACAGCAGAAGTCGCTCCACCTCACTGTATTAAAGGCTCATTTATGAAAGAGAAAAATAGAAGCATTTTCTCTTGCTCTGCAAGTCTGTAACAAGCAGAAGAAAGAATTTCTGTCAGACAGCAAATTACAGCCTTCTCACCAACAAAGGGGGCTGTAATTTAATCAACCAAATCTTTGCCAGTTGAACAGATTTTTGATTTGTAGAAGACAACACCCAAGTTATACTGCCTTCCTTTTTTTGGATTGTTACCTCTGATTGCAGTAGGGAAGACAGCTTCTGGTTCCAAGTTTATCTGCTGTATAAACAAAACAGCAGAGGACGCTGTGCAAGCAAGATCCTTAGGGGTAGAAATCAACTGAGCAGTTACCGAGCTGTAAAACTGCACAGCTCTTCAAAACTGCCAGGTGCAACAAACAACGCTAAGGGCAATACTTCTACCATACCTTAAATCCAACAGGCCAGTGGATGAGGTAGAGATCCAGATAATCCAGTTTCAGGCTGGCAAGAGTCTTCTGACAGGCTCCTTTCACCAATGATTTTTCATGAAATGTGCACCACAGCTGGAGACAAAAAGCCAAGTGACATCGTGACTTCCTGGGTTAAAGATGGTGGAGCAATTCTGTCCTGTTTAGAAGAGAAGCCTCCTTTGGAAATGGATGTGGAATTAGATTATGTTATTGCTCTTCAAATGGGGCTTGCTCTGAGAGCTGGTGGCAAGAGGTGCTGTAGCAGCATAAAGGACTAGATGGGTTTATATCAGACAGCAGAAGCAGGCAGGAAGCAAGATTTAAGACTTCTTTTAACTACTACAAGGTCAGTTTCTGTATAAAACTAGGCAGCATAACTTAGTGTCAGGAAAGTTTAAAGTATCACCCATTCCACAAGTAAAAGTTCTTCCTAATTCTCAGTGGAGAATAACAAAGGAAGAAGCTTAGAACCAAGGGCTTACTACAAAAAGCAGGCCCCCCCATGGACTGCACAGTACCAGATCCTCACCTTACTGACTACAAAGAGGTCCTCTCGTTTCACAACACCCTCTTTGATTTTCTTCTGGATCCCTTCTCCAACTTCATTCTCATTCTGGTACACGTAAGCACAATCAAAGTGGCGGTAGCCTGCATCAATTGCAGCCATCACTGCAGCTGTTACTTGTCCCGGTGGGGACTGAGGGGGAAAAAAAGGAAAGAAAGAAATGTCTAAAGAATGCTCATCAAAACATCCTGAAGATTTTTTCCCAGTAAAACAAAACCCAAGAAAGCCACCCCACCAAAACCAACTCTCAACAAAAATAAGCAAAACGAGAAGTAAGCAAACAAAGCAGTTCTCCCTACAGCATTCTTCACTCCGAAAACGTCTCCAGCAGAGGCTCCCATGCTCGGAGCCGGCCTCCAGCTGTTCAGCGTCACCCAGCTCCCGCGCAGGGCCCCGCAGAGCCGAACCGAGGCCTCCTCCCTTCCCCCCGCTGTTGCTAAAAGGAGAAGCCACAGCAGCTGCCGGCCGGGAGGGGCCCAGCTCTACCAAGCCGTACTCCGAAGCCAGCCTCACCCGCCCGACCCGCGCTGCCCCGCTCACATTCATCGCCCCCAGCACAGGGCCGGGAGCGAAGCGCCCAGCCGCCCCACCAAGGGTGGCACAGCCTCGCTCCAAGAGCCAGCTTCAGCTCGCCCGTTACCTTCCAGGTGCCCAGCCCCAGGATGGGCATCTTAGCTCCGGTGTTGAGCTGCACGTAGGTCGCCATGGCCTCACACACCGCTATGAGGGAGACGCCTCCCTCAGAAGCCTTTAAGAACAGCCTGGCCCCGCCCCGCCTCGGCTCGGCTCGGAGGCGGTGCCGGCGCTGTTCCTCCGGGATTCGGGCTGGGGTCTGGGACCGACCGCAGGCTGAAGGCGGCTGCGTGTGCGGGGCTGGGATTGGCGCTACGCTGCTTCCATCTGGGGGAGGGGCTGGTGCTCAGGGGGAGTCCAGGAAAAAGAAAAAACAACAAAACAAACCAGTTAAAGAGCAACGGCAGTTTTGTTCTGGATGTTGGGAGTGTTTATTTATTTATTTTCAAAACACGTTTCGAGAGCATCAGAAGAGGAACAGTGTGCGGTTTTTAAAAATTATTTTTATTTATTTATTTATTTATTTATTTATTTTGGGTGGTGGTGGTGGGGTGATGTAACAACCACGTGGCCTCGCTGTCTTCAGGGAGGCGCTGGAGGCATAAAGCGTGCCATTGTACCGACCTGCACGAGGTGGGCTGTACCGCGACTCAGAAGTGGGTGATGAAACGCGGCAGGGAAGCGTACGCAGCCCTGGCGAAGGCTGCAGCGCAGTGGAAAAAACCCGTCCCCGTGCGTGGGGCTGCGCTGCTTGCTCGCAGGTGGAGCGCGGCTTCGGGTGCCTCTCCCGCAGCTCCGCATTTTTTGCTCCATTTAACTAAGGGTGAGCTAAGGTAATTGGTTTTCCTCTTTAATGTTCCTCCTGGTTTGTGTCAGCGCTGTCAGCCGTTCCCGGCAGGATGTGATGTGTTTTCCCTTGGATCGCAGGGTGCTTATATAACTGCGTGCATATCGTTCACCATTCGGTTTGTTTTTTTCCCCGGTGGTTTCTGGGAGGAGGGATGTTGTCTCTCATAAGATTCACACAGAGGTTCTGCATTTTGCTTTGCTCTTGGTTCACCCGATGGGCAGCTCTGCCCCCATCCTAGCTGCTTGCTTTTCCCTAGCACTGTGTGTCATGTAGTAGTGAGGCCTTGGGGAAGAAGTGCAGCCTTGTGTCGTGGGCAAATCTTGCAGGCTGTCCTTGGTGATGTGCCTGTTTGTTTTTGCACAGAGAGCACTGCAGATGTGGGGCTGTGTGGGAGGAAGGGTTTTTATTTTCTTCTGCTCTGTGCATGAGGTTTCTCACTGAAACAGGATATGTAGTATCACGAGTTTCTCAGTCCGTTTTGCTAACTTTGCTTTTAGTGATAGTAATTTCACCACAGATGGTGACTTCAGAGAACAGCAGTGTCTGGTATCTGCAAAGAACTGGGCCCAAAGTCACGGGAGTGGGTCTGTCCTTGTGGAGATGGCCTTCACCAGCACTGACCAAAGGAAAAGGAACGGGGTGGCAGGGTCATGAGGTACAATCCCCTCAGCTGGTAAGGGTCTGCAGCTGTGGCTGTTGGTGATACAAACACAGCTGAAGCCAGTGTTCTGAGGTGACAGCATGTGGGCTGCAGGCTGAAATCACAGCAAAAGCGAACTCACTGATAGCAGTGGGAACTAGCAGTGGGAACGTCTTCCTTGCTTGGAGCCTCTACAGTGTTTATCTTGTGAGGTGGTTCATTTAAACTCTGGGTGTTGTTAAGATGGACTGTAGATCTGTGGGTCTCGGCTGAACCTAGCTGTGCAAGACTTTGGTCTCTTCCTTGCAATGAGTTAACTCTGAGCCAGGAGCAATTTGCGGTTGCTTTCCAGTTTGCTCAGAATTAATGAGGCTTTTTGTCTTCCGTCACACCTGTTAACCCTAGGTGCTGCATGTGGTCAAAAGAGATGTAGGTGACCAGCCAAATGCTGAGGAAACGCTGTGGACACAGGGTAGGACAAGACTGTGAGCTGTCCTGGGCCAATTCAGCCCAGCTCTAAAACCTTTGGGGTGGTGGAGCTCTGGCCAGCAGCATGGGCTGATGTGACCTGCCATATTGTGCCTTGACAGGGATATCCCCACATGCTGAAGGAGGGGGCTCACTGCTGAGGGGACAGCAGTCTGGTTGTGCTGGATCAGGGATGCTAAGGCACAGCATGAAGGATGGGTGATGGATTGAAGGCCTTGGGCAGCTATCCTCCAGCCCAAGTTGCCCTTACTTCATGAGAGGGACAATGATGTAGCTCATAATGCATGCTGGGGAAGCAGAGACTTAGGGCGGGAGAGTGTAGGTGTTTGGTTGAGAGAATGGGGAAGGGGAAGGAAAGGTGCATACGTAGTATCTGTGTCTTTCTTTTGGTGGTTTTTTTTTTCACCCTCCTTAGTACTCGAATCAGTAATCAGAAGCTTGTATATAATTGGCAGTAAGTGAGTTTAAGATTTCCCTGAGATAAGACTGCTCTGCTAGGGATAGGTGCTGTTAGAGAGCATGTGCATCTCTCACTTCTGCTGTCTCCCAGACAGGAGAGACTCCAGGGCTCTGGAGGGAGCCATGATTTCAGTCCTGAGAATACAGAGTGGTATGCAAAGTTGGTCAGAGATTAAGTACAGATGGTGTGCAAAGTCACCAGTGGGGACACCACTGGGATAACAGGCACTAATAAATGTGCACAGTGAAGGGGAAGGGGAGAGGGGCATTGGTCAGAAGCAGGCAGTTAGTAGTGCTGAATTGGCCAGTCTGGAGGCTGTGCATCAGGCCACTGAGTGACCAACTCAGACCAGGACTCCAACACCCTGGGGGAGAAATTGGTCTTGTACTGATGTAAAAGCAAAGCTCTTTCAGGCACAGCCAACTGCAATCATTATGTAGACCTGTGGAGAGAAGAGTGCATGTGTGTGCCCAGCGTGTGAGTATACTCTCAGCAGCTCTTTGCTCACAGTGAAATTACAGAACTGGTGGATGCTGGCAGCTGTGGCTGTGCAGGTGTTGGAAATATACTGTCCTGATAAATTATTTGGATCTCTGATAAAATAGATTTTATTTGCAATTGCAATGGCGGGCCTCCCGCAAGCAGGAGAACGTGCAGAAAAGTTTTTTATGCCCTATTACTCAACGCTTATCTCTTTCTCCCCTGATTCCTCATTGGCTGAGTACTTCAGGTTCACAATCTTCCTGATGCTCAACTAAATACGCGGATAGTGGATAAACATAAATTTTTGCTAGCTAATCACTAATTAGTTAACTTCTCACACTTGCTCATTGAACCCTTGGTCATTGTTTCTGGACATCTGCTTGTCCTTGCATAGAGATAAGCTTAGAAGGAGGTTAGGTGGGAGTATCTTGATGCCTGCCTGTTGCATCCCAACCTACCCACAGAGCAAGGCAATCCAGCCTTGTGTAGAGGCCCTGGCTTCTTTGATGTTTCTTAAGTCTGTTTTTCTTTTGCTGAGGGTCTCTTATCCAAACAGAAGAGCTCTATAATATGCTTTCTAGTCCATGATACTACACCTATACTATTTGGAACATTTAAAAACTACTGCAGTTTTGCAAGCAAGATTTAATCACATAATTCAGCAACTATATTTCTGGAACATGTTACTAACATATATGGTATTTCTACTTTTTCACATCAGCTCTTTCTAAGGACAAGTTACAAAATACAAATACATTGTGCTCTACTTGTTCAGATCAATTTCCCCTTTTTAATATCTAATGCAGAAAAGACATTCCATTCCTACATTGGAAAGCTGGTGCTCATGGGGTATGGCTTTTGCTATGGGAGAAGAGAGCAGAACTCTGGGCAGTTAGGACTCTGCTGCTTGCAAGCACTGCCCTGCACAGGAGAGGAGTGCTATGGGATCTGCTAGTGAAGGGCTATGTGGAGCACTAATCCTGCTCATCCCACAGGTGAGATATGCCTGCAGAAGGGCTGGGAGGAAGAAGGAAATAATTGCAGTTGTTTGGACCGCTGGATTGTGTTCTCAAGCGAGGGGGAAAGGACCCCGAAAAACTGTGATAACTGAGGCTGTGGCTCAGAAGCTGTGAGGGCTGGGTGACACCCCTCTGGTACTGCCTGATAAGTTGGAGGAGGGCAAGGACGTGTTTGTGCTGAGGGGTGCATGCCAGACGGCAGCGTGAGGCTGGCAGCATGATGAAGGATGGTGCTGGGGTGCCAGTGTTGTGGCTGGCCTTCCAAGAGAATTGGGTGCTCCAGCTCCCACCTGTTGTGCTGGGATTTATGGATGTTACGTAGGAACAGGGAGCTGATGGTGGAGTGGGACAGACAACTCATCGCAGATCTAGCTGAGGGGAAGGGGCTGAGCTCAGTTAATGTTCTTATAGGATGTGGGATGTATATCTCAGTGAAATAAAGGAGGGCGACAGCGGCCTTCTGCACGGACGCCGTGCTCGGAAGCCGAAGAGGCGGCGGGAGTGAGGCGGGCCGGGGCGGCTCCTGTGAAGAACGGCCGCCCTCTGCTGCCCGCGGCGGGAACGCGCTCCTCACGGGGCGGGCCGGAGAGCTGAAGGGCAGCGTGGCTCTGAACAGGGGGCACGGGAGGGTAGAATCCCACGCATAGCAATCATCTGAAACAGCTGTTGAAGTAACTATATGCAGCAAGCATCACCAATCGCGTATTTACACCCGTATGCACGTAGAAGGAAGCCCGATTATCCTGCTGCTCATCGTACATCCTTGTTTTCTGCACATGGAAAATTTAAGAGAGGATAAATGCAATGTGAGAGATTGGGGGGGGGGAACAGATGCACAACAGAAATGAAAACAGAGAGAACACCTTTTGATCTTCAGTTCTGATGTGGTGAAATCCCTCCTTGTCTCCCTTATCCTCAGGAATTTGGTCTTTGCTTCATCTTCCTCATAAGAGACTTTCATCCTCTTTAGCCTGTTGTGCTAAATACAGTGCAAAAGCGAGTACAAATCTGACTTTGTGTTTCAAAGTCTCTCCCTGCCTCTTCCTTAGTAATTCCATACAAGGCCAGGGACTTATTACAGCTCGCTATTTGTTTTTCTAACAAATGCCACGCCCTTCTTGCCAGCAAAAAACTCCAGGAATTACAACAACAGACAATCCCTGAACATGTATCCTGTGATTTCATTTGTAGCGGGAGGACGGATGCATTAGGAAAGCTAGATAAATTTATACAAAGAATGTTAGACCAAGCTCCAAATGAAGACATGATAAGACCATCTTCAGTATTCTGCACTATTCTGCGAGTTTTTCTCCTAGAAAGAGAGGAATTAATATCACATATCAAAATGATTTTTCTGTATCAAACTGTATGGGATACTTAGAGGATTTGCCATTCCTTTTCCCTGAGAGTTTGGGAAGGCTGTGAGAGAATCCCTGCTTGCTCTGGAGGTTGTAGGATGCCAGATCACTTGTAATCACTCACCTCAAAGTTCTCCACAAAGTGTTGTGGTATGACAGACTTTGAGATCGCAATCATATCTCCCTTGATCTGGAAGCTAAGGAGAACTTACAGGAGACTGCTGAGCCTCTTACTACAGTCTCTTTTGAGGGATCGCTGCCCTCCAGTGGCTGTAGGGAAAAGCACGATGTGGTTTTCTCGATGGAAATCATTCTAGGGGAATTAATAGCCATTACAAGCAGATGGCTCTGGAAAGGACAAGTATGATGAGTGTGGTGTTTCAGATGTGGAAATTTGTAAGTAAATAAAAGACAAATCCCATAGAAACAAAAGGGCATGCATTACTCCCTTGTAAATTTTAATTCTTTTAAGTAATACTCATTATGCACTGAATCCATTAGCCCAAGGCATACTACAACCAAAGACCCTTGAAATACCATGCTGTTGCAACACCTGCCTGCTCTCTTAGTACTGCTCAATGACATACCCTCCTTTTCTGCATCTTCCTCCATCAGGGAAAGGCTTTTCCAGAGAAAGCTCTACTCTTACACAACACTAGTTAAATCAGGCCTATCCCAGTTATCGTGCTGTCACAGGTTGAAGGGAATATGACACTTAATCCAGTTGAGTGTGTCAGGCTTTGGGCAGCAGCCCGGTATCAGCACTTTGAAGTAGATGGTGCAAGGTGAAACTGCTATTCAATATTAGGTGACACTGCTTCCATTCTCTATACAGTCTGTTAATTATAGAGAAATGCCAGCACAGGCTCTTAGCTAAATCAGTTTGCAGTGGTAGCACCATACAGCCTTCTAGCAGCTTTCAGTTATGGTTTCCTGGTGCTTCTTGATACACAACCCATACTATGGTATGCCACATCTTGTGCTGCCATCTGCCTTATTCCATCAACTAAAGTGTATTGTACGTGGGTATTAAACACTTGAGCAAGATAAAAATCCCATGACATAGTTTAAAATGTACAGTTGTTTCAGATGATATTTTTAAACACAACAGTGGTTTACCAGTTTTTCCATATTAGACAAGAGCTTCCAAGCCATTACTAGTCAAACTTCTTTATTTTTGAGAGAATACAAACAAGTCACAGTTCAGTTTGGGTTGGTAGAGAATGTGACTGCAATACAGCCACTATGCATGTAGATCAGACATTCTTCATTTCAAGAAAAAGCTTTGAGTTGTGTTCTAGAAGTGAATAGTTGTCTTTCATCTCCACACACTGATTACATAGCTCATTCTTTTTGTGCTCAGATATCATTACCCTACAGCCTTAAGTAGTGTTGATGTTAGACAGAAGATTAAAAATAAAAGAATATAGATCAGTTGCTAGTTAGTTTTTAGTGTTCTGTTTTGCCATTTCAGCCAGGTAAATACAAGTACCCAATGAGTAAAGAATTATTACAGCCAGTAACTATAGTCTGCATTTTGTTCTTCAGAGCAACTTCACTATTTTGTTCTACCAAAGAAAGTCTCTTTGCTGTCAGGATAGATATAGTGTACAAGGTACATAGTGGATCACAGTAGGTAGTGGTAGAAACTCATTAGACCCTACAGGCCTCCAGGAGGTCAGGATAAAACTATTTTCAGTATTCAGCATTGAAAGGATACTCCTTGTGGTTTCTGCACCTGAAGGAAGACGAAGATGAGTGATTACTCTATAGGTAAAATAAATGCTGACAAGACAGCAGTTACTGACTTTCAAACTAAAGCTTTGTCTGGGTATATGCTTCCATGGTGCATAGTTGCAAGTGACAGCTCACTCTGCCTGTCACTAGCCAGCTCCACAGAAGCTGACATCAGTTTACTATAATCTCAACAAGGAAAAAAAAAGTTTAAAACTTGCTAATTGCTTCACTTTTCTAATATGGAACCAGTGTTACTAACTAGAACCTTCCTATATTAGGAACTCACAGGTACTTGTAAAGAGCGTTGAAAAATTGAGGGAAACAAGCTGTCACTTACGTGACCATTTCACAAATTCTCCAGTTTCTGTTAAGGCTGAGAATAGTTGCCATCTCTTCTTTAGTCAGTTCAAAGTCAAACACCTAACAAGGAAAAACAGCTGGAAATCACCTCATTGAACAAATTGAACTGATAGCAAAGCTCACAAAAGAGCAAGTCCACAAGAGAAGAGATGTTGGTTATGAATGGCTTCATGAGGTCAGGGGAGAGGGGGAAGAGGGGAAGGAAGAGCCTGCTTGGATCCCCATGTCAGAAAGAATTAAAACAACCAACCAACAAAAACCCTAAAGTTGCAGTTAGATTTATTGGCTGTTGCAAGAAGTTTCATATGCACTTAGGTGCATTCTGCAACACTATTTGTTGAAGATGCAATTCTTTCCAGTTCTAAATAAAGATTTGGAAGATTTCAGTATTCCAATATATTTATGTTTCTTCTAAAATCCTGATGTCCAACATCAGGAAAATACCAGCAACTTAGCAGTTAGAGGAATAATATACTTCACTGACATCAGGATTCTTACCACTGCTTATGCTATATAAGCTTCTTTGGCATGCTACTGCACTTGTGCTCCAAGCAAGCCCTGCAGGCCAATTCATTTCATTTACTTTCTGCAGAATAGGAGACAATGTAAAGATGACTTGTAGTGTTATCAGGACACTGTTTCCAAGGCCTCTGTCAACCTCTCTTCTGCAATTACAGTTTTCACTTCAGAATTCACTTAGCCCTCAGTACAGGTAAACATGCAGATAGAAGAAGCCCTGTGCTCTTATCTGAGAAGGACTTGGGAAGGCTGAGAAAGGATCCCTGCTTGCTCTGAAGGGGAAGGTCACTTGTAATCACTCACCTTGAAGTTCTCTACAATGCGTTGTGGTGTGACAGACTTGGGGATCACAATCACATTTCTCTGGATCTGGAAGCGAAGGAGAACCTGCAGGAAAAAGAGACCACTGAGAGAGAGGACAGGTGCTTTTCCACAGAAGCTGAGCAGTCAACAGCTGTTTTCATCTGAGGTAGAGGCACTTACATAGAAATGAGCTTCAAACCATTCCTGTCCTTGTGGTTTAGATAGTGCTTCCGGAAGAGCAAAGGGTGAAGTGACAGAGCCCCTCATGGGAAGTCTCCTTTCTCCAGTTTTGATATTATGAGACTTTTCTTACCATCTAGACATTCAGTAATTTATGCAAGTTTTTACTGTCTGCAACAGGGCCTGAGAGGGGACATGCAATTGAAGATGGCTCAAGAATCTTCATTGAGGGCCAAAGATTTTCCTCCAGCATATGCAGGATGGCTGTTACGCAGCCTGCAATACTGCTTGTTAACACCACTGGGAACCACTACAGTTCACTGGGAATATATAGACCTGAAAGAGGGTATATACCCTGTACATTTTCCTTAATGGATATTATTTTCTGGTGCCCACCTACCTGTGCCGGGGTTTTGTTGTGCTTTGCTGCAATCTCTTTAATCTTGGGATTATCCAGAATGGCAGGCTCCTCTGGTGTGGCCCTACAGAGAGAAAGAAGAAGAAATGGCAAAGAGCCACTCTAAAAGGTTTCTAACCAGAAATAATTAACGACTGCATATTTGTGTATACACATAACTGAAAGAGAAATGGTGCAGGTGATCTGAAAGTTTTAAACTTAAGCCATGTTAACTCATTTTTAAATTACCTTTCAGGCCGTCCAAGGGGACAATATGCTGTCACAGTGATTCCTTTGGATTGGCAATAGTTGATAAGCTTCTCCTGGGAAAGGTATGGGTGACACTCGATCTGCCAACACAGGAGCAGACAGGTAGATATAAAACTACAGTAATGCTCCAGAGATTTTTTTCCCCCCCAAATCTTAAGTTTCCTAATTATAGGCTGTCTTAATCTTTGCCCGCAGGTGGGCTGTGGGATAATACAAACCCATAATTCTGTAGGGCACTAATTTTTATACGGAGTCCTTATATACATTTTGGATTTTGTTCTAAGAAGTTTCATAAAAATCCTTGATTACACAATCACAGCTCATTTATATGTTCTTTTATCACTAGAAAGAATGTTTCACAAAGAAATATTCCTATATCTGTAAACAGTGCCACAGCAAGGTGAGAAAAAGTTTCTCAGTCCTTTTAGTACCTAGTACAGTGGGAACTGAAATACATACTGTGATAGTCCACTTTGTTCTCCCCTTTTCCATATCCTCATGCAACTATAATTAGATTGTTGTAATTCCTGAAAACTATTCACTATTAGCAACTTACCTGGTTGTTTGCAGGCTTGTGTTTCAGTCCTGGCTTGTTCAAGAGTCTTTCAGTCTGCTCATGGTTGAAATTGGAGATGCCAATGGCTTTTACCAGACCAGCATCCACCAGCTCTTCCATGGCCTAATAGAGAGGCAGCAAAGTTACCATCCACGATGCAAGACAGGGCCTGAACACATTCTTCCTGATGTTCCTTGTTTCCCTTCACAAGAAGGGAGAAATAACTGGCAGGCTTGCCCAACTTAACTCTCTTGGGGAAGAATGGATACTGGTAATTTTTTGCTGTGTCATTCATTGTCTTCCACCCAAGCCCAAAAAAATCAGTTATGACTGAGAAATTCATGCTGAATTACACAAGGAAAAGTATATCACCAGCCTCTAATCTACTACTGTGACAACACTGGAGAGCTATGCTCTAGGATGATGGCAAGATTATAACCTAAGTTGTTTTTATTTCTGTAAAATACTTGTACTTGAGTAGTTCAAGAACTGCATGAGAACAACTGTACAAATATCATGGTCACACAGAGAACTATTTTAACTTCAGATTGTTCTGCAACTCCCCTGGAAGTAATCCGAATTTACTTCTGTACATTCTTTCTAAAGAAGTCTGCATCCATGCAAGAACCACACTGTGACTACTGAAATATCACTGCTTGGGATAGAAGACATAACTGTCACTGTGGCTAAGCTTACCTCCCATGTTTGCAGAATATCAGCATTGCTGGGTATAGACATGCCTTTGTCATCTGTGGGAAACAGGTCCTCTCCTGCCTGTCAGCAAGAAAGAAAGTGTTTGAAAAATCTGTTGAGAAGTTTAAGACAGTGACAGCTCAGGACCAAGACAGCTTAAACTTCTGGTGAAGTCAAGAATACCAGTTCTTTCTACAGCCATTTCTTCCTTCCTGCATTAAGTGAGCAATTGGAGATATTTCTGGCCAATCAAGGCAGATATTTCTGCTGCACTCCTCAAAGCAATGACTCACCTAAACACCTACGGGGAAGAAAACACTCAGATCCAGACTGAGGTAAGAAATTCATATGTATCACTTCATGTAGTATTCTTTTTTCACCCATTTAAGAAGTGATTTCTCCCCCCCCCCCCCCCCCCCCGAGTGCATCACAGAACTTAGTTTTTGATAAAGGTAATACATAGCTTTGGCCAATACTAAACCAAATCTGTTGAAAAGAGATATTATGTACTGTGGCAATTCATCCATGGCAAAGCTCAAGAATGCTGTTATCATGCCAGGAAAGTCAGAAGAGCCTTTGAGTGCAAGCTGTGTCAAGACAGCAAGACTAAACTGCGTCTAACAACTGAGTTTGTTGCTGCCGCAAGGAGAGTTTCATTTTTATGGCTTTGTTAACAAAGCTAAAATAGAACATGAAGTTAAGCAATTCAGAAGCAACAGGTGGGATGGAGACCACTCACACTGTAGCAGGAAGAAGGTAAGACTAGAAATAATCAAACTCAGACATCAGTCTGAAAGACTTCAGCTCCACAGAAGTCGCCCCTTTTGCAACGCAGGGTTTGTGGAACAACAGTAAGGCTCCTACAGCAAGGGAGAACTCAGTCTATACTGAAATAAGGACTCAGTAATTGAAAGCAGAAATGGAAAACAGAAACATTCTCTAGATTTGATTCTGTAACACGCAGAGAAAAGAACCTGTCAGGCAGCAAGATGTAGCCTGCATTCCACAAAACATAATTTTCAGAGAAGCATATTTTGGATTTGTAAAAGAGAGGGAGAAGAGCCTAGCTTGTGCCTGCAGCTCAGAGATCTGCCTCCAGTTTTGTTTCTGTCACAACTTACAGTAAGAGGGGCATGCAAGTAGCATTCTCAAGAATAAAGATCAAGGGTTTTTCTCAGTGCTAGCAATTATTGGGCTGTAAAGCCATATAAGTCTTCAAAAGCAGTGATCATGAAAGAAACACGTGCATCCCCATTATCATACCTTGAACCCAAAAGGCCAGTGCATGAGGTAGAGATCCAGGTAATCCAGTTTCAGGCTGGCAAGTGTCTTCTGGCAAGCTCCTTTCACCAGAGGCTTTTCAAAGAATGTGCACCACAACTGGAGACAAAAAGACAAGCCATACCATGACCTCCTGGGTTAAAGCTTTTCAGTGTTCTCCTGGACTAGATAAAAGCACTCCTTCTTTGGAAGACAATGTGGAAGTACACCAACGTATTGCTCTTAAAATGGAGCTTCCTCTGTGAGCTGGACCAGATTGTTATGGCAAGAGCGGCACATGAATAGGATCATATACAAAGAATCTTCTGTTTCTCAGTTAATACCACCTATGCTATTCCCTTTTACACAGGGTCTGCCCTTGCAGTAAATGCCTTCAGAAATGAAGACAGATACCTGTCAGATATGACTATGCCTGGAACTTCTGCACTGAACATAGCAGGTAATGCCACAAAGATGAATCAACTCCCCATTTTCTTTAATAAGCAAGAATGTCCACACTCACATCTTATCTAGTATATGTGCAAAGCAGATGTTGTTCCAAGATGCCCAGAACCTCATCTTGCTTACACAGAAGAGAGGCATAAACCCCACTGCCAGAACAGAGTTGCTCCATAGGCACCAACCATCGCGAAGGCTGTCTCTTTTGGCATCAACAAGGTGCAGCTACCACATTGCCAGTGCCTCTGTACCAACTGATGGCTACAAGTTAGTTATCTCAGAGCCCTGCATCACTGATTTTTACATCCCTTGATGCTTCTCTTTTTTTTTCTACTCCAGCAGGAATATGAAGTGCAGGGCCACGTTCCCCCCCTCCTTCTTCTGTTTGTCCCTCAGTTCTTCTGCTTCTCTTCAGAAGACTGCCAGAGTGCAGAAGGGATGTGGTGCTCAAGGTGTTATTGAACTTCTAGGGGAATAAAATCAGTCTGACTTCATTCAGTATTATCTGGCTAACTGGGGAATAAAGCTGTCAGCAGTTATGACTCTTTTCTCTGCTCAAACCTCAAATAACTTACATTCCTATTCAGTGGCTACAACAACAGAATCAATATCATTAGACATCTGAGAGGTATGAACTGTATCATTGTGGCTATGGGATGAAACAAGAAGAGTACCAAGAGTCATTTCATTTGCACTATGAGTTTCATCATGACATTGCATAAGAATGCTTCAAGTCTTAAGTTCTGTTTTTTTTAATTTTACTACAGCAATATCACTGGTCAAGTATGCCAACCTCTACCCAAGGCCATTGGACGCTTACCTTACTGACAATGAAGAGGTCCTCTCGTTTCACAACGCCTTCCTTGATTTTCTGCTGGATCCCATCCCCAACCTCCTTCTCGTTCTGGTACACATAGGCACAGTCAAAGTGGCGGTATCCAGCATCAATTGCAGCCATCACTGCAGATTCCACCTTACCCGGTGGAGCCTGGACAAGATAAGGGTACGATACATTATGGTTTGGGACCCTTACATACTGTTTCTGAAGTGGACAGAGCAACACTGAAAGAAAGGCATTTCAGAGTTCTTCCAAAACACTTTTTTAAGCCTGTACACACAGCACGCAGAGGCACCAGGGCCAGAGCCAGCCTCCAGCCATCCACCTGCTGTTCCCGTGCGGGTCCCAGCTTTGTCCAGCAGAGGCCCCGCAGATTCAGATCGTAGCCCTTCCCCACGCTGCTGCCCAGAGGCCACAGCAGCTGCCGGCCAGGAGGGCTTCAGCTCGGCAGAGGCAGCTCAGCGACCCGGACCCAGAACGGGCGACACAGACTCGCCACTGCCGATTGCCGGGCCACCTCCTCCGGGCGCTGCAAGCCGCGGGAGTCCCATTACCTTCCAGGTGCCCAGCCCCACCATGGGGATTCTGGCCGTGGTGCCCAGGCGCAGACAGGTCGCCATGCTCGACACGAAGACGGCTACCCCTCGCCGAGGCCTTTAAGCCCTGCCCCGCTGTGGGCACTGCCTCCTGCCGCCCCGCCCCGGAGCGGGGAGCTCCGCCTTCCTGCGCGGTGCGGCTGTGTGCTGGTGGGATGGGCTGAGTGGAGACTGTGTGACGGGGTTTTGCCTCTGCGCAGCTAGCGTGTAGGGGGAAAGACTGGTGCTCAGGAGGAGTTCAGGAAAACACTGTTAAAAAGGAGTTTGTTTTGGATGCCGGGGGACGATTTTGTTTTGTCATATGTTTTTAAAGCTGTAGAAAAACAGTGAGTGTTTCTGGGTGTCACAGTGATCATGCCATCCATCTGTTTAAAGGGCCTGTAGTTTTACATTGGCAATTTACTTGAAAGAGTTGGAAAGACGAGGTGTCCTTCTGGAGGAGAGGTCATGGTGCAGTTTAAAAAATGCTTGATTTATCAGCGGGATTTGGGAAGTGCTCCACAGTGGAATGTTAAGGCAGATTTGGAGACTTCACTTCTTCCTTGTATTTGGAGAATTTATTCAAGGAATGCACCAGCCTGTTTTTCTCTGGGTGCCTCTCCCACAGCAGACAGCTAGATCCTTTTTGCTTTGTGTAACCAAAGGTAGAAAAGGTGATGAGTTTTTAGTCTTGCTCTTGTTTTGTTTCCGGAACATCAGCGGGATGTGATTTCAGTACAGCTACACAACTCAGCACATGTATTTCATCCTCTGTTTGCAATTCCTTCGAAGTGAAAAATGCAAAAGGACACATCTTGCCTTGACTGTGATGCTTTCTACAGAGATCCTGAAGACAAGTTAAAGTGATAGTTTGCTTCTACTCTTCTATGTATTCACAAGGTACCCAAGTTTGTGTTGTGCTGGCATTATGTTAGCACCAGCATTACCATTCTCAGAAACAGTGAATGGTAAGTGTACTTTAACTCTTGGGGTAGGAATTGCCAGAATCAATCAGGTTTTGTACTGAAGCAGTGCCAGGATGAGTTGGTGGCATCAATAAGATGTGTTCTGCTGGTCTGTGAAAGCTTGGCAAGTTCAGCTATTTGGATAGTAAGAAGGCATCTCCAGTAAGAAAGAGGACAAAACACCTTTTTCTCCTGAGCCTGGCATTTTTGGGGAGAGGCTTCAAAGAATTACATACTGTGGCAAGGATCATGTGATGACAAGTTGAGTAGAATAGTTCCAGTTGGAAGGGTCCTATGGAGAACATTGAGTCCACTTGCCAGACTGTTTCAGGTACATCAGGGCTAACCCTGAATTGATACAAAGACAAAAATGAGAACACCACCTTATAGAAAGTAATCATCTCTGATTTATTTGTTTCCCAAGAGCAGTGCTCTGGAACTGGAAGCCACTTCCATCCACTTCTTCATAGCCCCTCTCTCACACAGGCACAGTCCTGCAGCCAGGCAGAATAGAAGCAAATGAGCTTGGTGCCAGGGAGCTCTGCGGTACAAGTGCTTTTCTGTCAAGCTGTTACCTTCCAGGTGCCCAGCCCTAGGATGGGCATCTTGGCTCCGGTGTTCAGCTACACGCAGATTGCCATGGCCCATCATGCTGCAAGGTCAGCTCTGCTGTGACCGCTTCCTGCCCAGCCCTACAAAGTTTCAGGAAACTGGAGCCCTAAGGCAGGGCATGAAACTGCTCAGAGAGCTGTCCTGTGCTGGTGCAGATGAACAGTGAGAGTCATGTGAGTAGCTATACACAGGAAGATGTGCCCAGTGGTGATTTTTATCTACACTTCACAGACTGGGAGGTGAGACCCAGAGCCAGTGTTGCTGCTGAATTCCTACAGACCGCGTGGAGTGAAGTTGAGAAGTCAAAGTAGGTCCTCAGTTTTTTTCAGAAGCTGTCTTTCTTCTTGTAAATTGTGGAATTGCCTGTTAGTTGATTTTAATTATTTCCATTTATTGGTACAAGCTAGAGCTCATTCACTGAGTTGCACAGTGCAGAGGGATGGGAGTAGAGATGGCAAGAGGTGAGCTTCAGCAACATGATGTAGATGTCATTTAAATGATGTCATAAGGTAATGCATCCTTTTACACAAAAGTAGCTCAGAATCCAGATGATATAATGAAGGGTGTATTTTAGTGTTTGTAATCACAGGGACGGAATTAAGCCTGTGTGTGACAGATTGCTGCTGTGGATTTTCCTCCCCAGTCTCTTACCAATTCAACTGCATTTTATGTTCTTAAGAGTTCTTAAGAGTTTATAATGTTGAGAAGGTAAAAATCTTTCTTTTTCTCCCCTTTAGATAAAAAAAAGAGAATGAAGAGTGTTTCACTGTATATTCCTATTTTTGCAAACAGGGGATTAGCAAGGTGAGAGCATGAAGAAGTTTCCCAGTCTGGCTTGTACCCAAAATTCTCCACAGAGTACATGGAGTACATTGGAGTACATGGAGTGTCCACTTTGTTCTCCCTCTTTCTACGTCCCCAAACAACTTTAATCTAATTTTATAATCCCTGAGAACTACGTACTGGGGTCACTATTAGTGGCTTACTTGGTTGTTCGTGGGTTCATATTTCAGTCCTGACTTGTTTCGCATTCTTTCAGCCTGCTCACAGTTAATGCTGAAGATTGCAATGGCTTTTACCCAATCAGCATCAACCAACTCTTCCATGGCCTAACAGAATGCAGCAAAGTCACTATCCACGATGCAAGACAGGACCTGAATGCATTCTTCCTGATGTTCCTTGTTTCCCTTAATGAAAACTGAAAAGAACGGGTAAGCTTGCTGTATATTGTAATGTCCTTATGAGCATATGTGGTGCAGCTCTGTCGGAGAAAAGACCACGGGAGACAAGTCTCATGCTATCATGATCAACAGGTCTTAACTTTATTAAGTATATCGTGGCTATTTATACATGAAATAATTAGCTCATACATATTGCAAAAGTGAAGCTCATGATTGGAAATTCCTCTAATACCCTTGAAGTGGCATTTGTCTGCTTTATTGTTAAGCACTACTTTATTTATACATGTTAACAGAGCATTCTGCAAAACACTCCTTAACCGTTCACACAGGTGCTTAGCCAGTCAGAGCCGTGAGATGGTCTTTCTTCTTCTGAAGGTGTTCTTGGTTCTCATGCCGCTTATCTTGCTCCGCAGCTGCTGCTCTGTGCAGCCCCCCCGACTCCAGAGCTGCTGCTCTGAACAGTTTTTCCTTACGTTCCCACACAGCTCTATGACTATCTACTTTATCCCATTTAATTCATCGTCGTTTTCCTCACAGTGATCTTTGGCTGGTATTTTAGCTGTTTTCCCCAGTATGACAAACTTCCATTGCTTCTTACAGCATAGTGAGCAACTTTGTATCATGGTGCACTATAACTCAGAATGATTTATATGAAACCCCAGAAAATGTCTTTGCACCTGGTGGATACAAAGATAAAGGAAGTCTATAGTTGCTTCAGTGAAGCAAGGATCGTTCAAAAACAAGACTAATTCACATACCACGTAAAGTTAAAGTGGAAAGTTTTAGAACCAACACGCATAAATTCCTTATTGCTAAACTAATATAGTGGTCCTTAAAGTAAGATATATTAGTCCCTGTTGCTAAACAAACCTATTTCAAAGTTACTTTTATTTAAAATATGGGAGACTTGTCATGCAATGGTGGATGTCTGTTAATTCTTGTGGATTCTCAGCCTCTGCTTTGCATTGATGCAAGACTAAAGGCACTTGCTGAATGGTGGTTCAGGTGTTCAGACTGTCCTTATTTTCTGCTGGGCAGTTCTACCAGATACTTCATTAATCCTTCTCTCTTTTGATAGGCAGAAAATTATTACATCTCACAATTTATTCTACTGAACTCTTCTCTTTCTGTCTTTCAAAGAATGAACTCAGACAGAATCAGTGGAGTAAATGTACTTTGACTTCACTGGCAGCAACAGGACAGATGCAGTAAGAAAGCTGGATGCAGAACTCAAAGCTAGGGGAGAGGCACATGAAACACCAGGGGTCTAGAGAAGGTCCGGTTACAAACAGCATCAGTATTCTGCATGGAAAGGGTATTCCTTATGTGTTCTGGCCCTGAAAGAAATCAAAAAGAGAGAATACTTTTAATTGCTAAAGCATGTGTTAGATTGAGGTGTGTTCAGTGCATGGAGGAACCATGAAAGGGGGATTTTAAGGGGCCTTGGGCAATCTGATGTAGTGTTGGAACTGGGTGATCTTTAAGGTCCTTTACAACCCAAGCCATTGTATGATTTTATGATTTTATGATTCTGTAACTATGATCTGAACTGTGTAATTGCTGGAAGATTATGTGAAGATATGCATCCTGATTTTTCTAATGTGGAGAAAGGCAAAGTACTTTCTCAGAATCCATCTTTGTAGTTCATCTTAGAGAATTTCCTGGAAACTGAATTGTTTTTAGTTTTTTCCTTTATTTTCAAAATGAATATATTTACCTGTCTGATGAAAAAATATTTTTGAGACATACCTTCTATTACTTGAATTAGTAACTTTTATCAATAAATTGAATTTCATGCTGCCTAGTAGCTCTGACAGAAATTTCTCTGTAGAGTTGATTCAAAAGGTAAGACTTGAAAGTAAAGAATTGTTGTCCCTTACTGGCTCATTTGACAGATCCTCCAGTTCCTGTTAAAGCTGAGTAGAGTTGTCATCTCTTCTTTAGTCAATTCAAAGTCAAAGACCTAACAAGAGAAAAAAGCTGGAAATCACCTCTTTGAAATAAATGGAACATCGTGAAGAAGATAGACAGGATGAGAAATTGGATTCAGAGTGGAGGATCCATTTTCCATCGTGGACTGCTGACATAAAGGATAGAGGACAGAACTTTTTATGAACACAAGAAATTCTTTATGAGCATTGCTCTTTCTACGTAGGTTGTTCTGGAAGAAATGTCTCTACTTATTTCTCTGGAAAGTACAACAGATACAAAGAGCGCAATAACATTAATTGATAGAGGAGATTCTCTGCTATGATGGACTATTTTTCAACATAGTCACTACCATTAGCCATACATTTTCACTAGTTATGAACAAGAGCCTGCATGCTGCACTTATAAAAATCTGTTCAGCGGAGGAGATGCAGTGTTGTTTTGTTAGTGCTGAAACGCACCACCTCAGTATGCTCTCACCTAGAGTTTGGTCTCCGTAAACATTCTGCAATTGCAGATGAATGTCAATGGGTGCAATTCTTTCCTACAGGCAGGAATTGAATTCCACGTTTTGCTTCATGTACACTTCTATTTCAGATATCATTATGTTAGACTACCCCTCTGCTGCCATGTGTCACATGACAACAGTATGTAAGGGAATACCGTTGGGAAGGTTCAGCATTTACTGCCATCCTACCGTCATCCACCTCTGACATTGTGAACTAACATAATAAGATGGGAGACATTGCTTTAGGAGTAGCTCTCATACATCAGATTTTTCCTCCTTGTTACTACACTTGGTCTTCAACTAAGCCCCGATTAATCCTTAGAACAACAAAATGAGTAATACCATAAAAGTCCTTTCTAATTGTATCCTTTTCTTAGCCCTTGGTAGAAATAAACAAGCGGATAGAAAGAGCCCTGTGGTCCTACCTGAGGTGGACTTTGGGAAGGCTGAGAAAAGATCCCTGTTTGCTCTGCAGGGAGAAGTGACGCCAGGTCACTTGTATTCACCCACCTTGAAGTTCTCCACA